CCAAGAGACTTCCTCAAGGCAAGAGTCCACAAACCTTCAATTTGTAAAAGACAAAAACAAAAGCACAAAAGAAAATATCTGTGAAGTGCAATAAAGCAAAACACAGTAAAACACGGTGTGCGAGTACAGTAGATGCTGCCTCAGTCTAGCAAAAGCTCCAGTGTTCTAAGACTGCCCACAGAACACCAAAAGCTGTGCAATTCATGTACTATCTCCTAATTTCATGCCTTTGTTCTTTGGCTAATGCAGTTGTCTCCTGAAGTATCATCTCCCTCCCCAAACCAAACTTCTCATGCCTCAAGACGCACTGAGCTCAAGTAACATCCTATCCAGAAAACGTGCTTAGTCACATCAGGTTAGATTATGTGCTTCTTCTCCACCTTATCACAACCGCTCATCATGACACTCAACATATTTTACTAAAATCATCTTTTTAATAACGCTCTCCTTATCAGACTGAAAGTTAATCCTGAAAGCCTACCCTAGGTATTAGAACCTGTCTAATTCACCACAACAATGTCCGGATCCGACTCAGTGCTCCACATATTACTAGTGGAAATAAATGTATGCGACATTTAAATTGTTCCCTACTGAAAAATGTTGCTTCTTGCTTTTCTGTTTATGTCCTTTTTCAAGGTTAACTATAAAGAAAGACCTGACCATGACAGCTATACAATTTCATCTAATAAAGCACTAAAAATAAGATAGAACTTCCCTAGTAGACCTTTGATAAGTTAGTTCCTCTTACTTATCTTCCTAAGTTCTATGAAAGTCCAAAGAACCCTGAACTTTCCACACTAATCCCCTCCGTATAACACAAGTGGGTGGGAAAATAAGAGGATTTATCTCTTTTGTCACTTGCCTGTAGTTGGAAATGTGGGACTCCATTCGTATTCACCACACTTATTCAGAAATTTCAGTATTTCTCTTTAACTAGCAGCCCACTGGCAAAAGCAAAGATGAATTTTAACATCCCATGTTCACAACTAGTTTATACATCAGAATTCAAATAAAGTAGTAACTACACATCTAATATTTAATATTCTATAAAAAAAGGGGGGGTAAAAGCTACTAGGTAAGGAAGGTGTATTAAATACACACATCTAATTTCAGTCCCTCCCCAAAATGCACTAAAACTATGTTATCGCTGTTTTTTCTTCATGGCATAATCTCACAAAAAAACAGGGAGAACTAGACAGGCAACAAAAGCAAAATTTTGGAAGCAGAAAAAACAAAGTGATTGCTCACAGACACAAATTCCTAAAAATATAAGAAATGAAATCTGGCGATATACAATATACATCGAAGATCATAGGTGTGTGATCAACAGATAAACAGTTATAACATACACCATGACCTAACAGGGTCTATTTCAAGAACACAGGACTGGTTTAATATTAGGAAATCCAATAATTCACCACATTAACAGATTAAAGGAGAAAAACAATTTGATTATCTCTTTGTGTTTAAAGAGAATACATTTAATAATTTCAACTTCCCAGTCATAACAAAACTCTTAGCAAACTAGAAATAGAAATAAATTCCGTTAATTATTGTTAAAGGATTTCAGTACAAGAAATACATAGACAAAAATCTACCTAATATTAAAAACTCAGAAGTTTTTCCTTTGAGATCTAGAACAATACAAGAACACTTATGTTTACTATTTATAGTTCACATTGTATTGGAGAGCTTAGCCAGAGCAGTAAAGGGAGGGGTGGGGGAGGTATAAAGATGGGAATGGAGGAAATAAAAACTGTTGTTACAAATGACTGTTACAAATGATATGATTACGTTCACAGTAAATCCAATGAATTTATTGATAAATTATTAGATAAGACTTTAACAAGGCTAGTGGATAGAAAATCATTAAAGAAAACAGATTTAAATACATCAGCAATAAACAAAACGGAAGGAAAAAAAGGGGGAAAAAATGACTACTATACACAACCAAGAATGGCCAAATTAAAAAGTCTGAAAATACCAAGTGATAACTTGGATATCATTTTTTGCCTCTTAGCTCCAAATCCACCCTCATTATTTATCTGCTCTATGGTAATAGAAGTTTACCCTGTAAGCATGTCTCTTTAACAGCTACATGATGTTCCGCCTTATCAGTAGAAGATGCCATAAGGTTAACTGCTTACCAATTCAGGCTGTGGTGTCCTGTCCACGAGACTTGGTCAACTTATACCTCACAGGAGTGTTTTCTGCTTGCTCAGGGACTACCAGGCAGAAGGTTGGAAGAGTCTTCTCCAAGAAATCTAACCAACCAATCAATCATTCAAAAAGACCTAAAAGGTACTGACATTTGGCATTCCTCACTACGCGATCTACTCAGATGACTCTACACGAAGGTTCACAGTTGACAGGCCCCACATACGCACTCAAAGCTTCCAAAGAGCTTTTTATAGCTGACTTTTCATCACAAGCAGATAAGCAAAGATTATAAGCCTAGACAAAAAAGCAACTCAAGGAAATAGAAACGACTCAGAGGCGGAGGGAAAAAAAAAAAAAAGAAAAATATTACTATCTCTGGGGAAAAAAGAATATATACCTATGAAGTGAACTCTTAGAGATGAACATGACAGAAGTAAAAAGAAAAAAACAAACAAACAAAACACCTCAACAGGAAGGTTATGAGGTAAAGTTGATGAAATTTCCCAGAAAATAAAGCTAACAGAAAACCTAATATAGATGGCTAAGAGGAGATGTAGACAAGTGATGGAAATTGGGGGCGGAATGAGTGTTAAGTACAGAGAAAACTACACAAGTGACAAAGTAAGGTAACTGTTAACTCTAGGAATAGCAACAGCCAGGGTGACAAAGGAAAAATGAGGGTTAACTACAAGGCTCATCTCTGCATAATACACATACGTGTTCATAATAATGTAAACCCTGAATATTAATATAATCAAAATTAAAAGATAACTATTTGGACGCTCACCTCAGCAGCACATCTACTAACATTGGAATAATATAGAGAAGATTAGCATGGCCCCTGCATAAGGAGGACACACAAATTCGTGAAACATTCCATATAAAAAAAAAGTAAATAAATAAAAGATAGCTATTTGGGGAAAACAGGAAGATACGAAGTATGCATGTGTGTGGAGTGGGAGAAGAAACAGCAACCTCATCTATAGTGGAAAGTTAACAGATAAGGACTAACACAAAAACAAAATGCAGTATAATTACAAGAGCACGTAATAATACAAATAATATTATAAGACCAAAAGGATCAGCTAAAAATTAAAAGTCACTGACTCTGCAGAAGGAGAAAAAGGTGGGAAGGTGGCTAGGAAGTACTATTTGTTCTAAAAAGCAAACAACATCAACAAAAACCCTGTAACCTAACTCTTCAAACTATGTTCTCATGTAACTATAGTAAAAAGTAAAAACTTAAAAACAAATAGCTTGCCCATACTGTCATGGTAAACTAGGAAATATTATTTTTTTAAGTTTATTTATTTTGAAAGAGAGAGAGAGAGAGAGAGAGGCAGGGAGTGAGGGGGAGAGAGAGAATTCCAAGCAGGCTCTGAGCTGTCAGTGCAGAACCTGACATGGGGCTCGAACCCATGAACCATGAGATCGTGACCTGAGCCAAAACCAAGAGCCGGATGCTTAACCAACGGAGACACCCAGGTGCCCCTAGAAAATATGATTTCTTAAACAAGTATTCACAGTAGCAACACATTTTTTAAATGCTTAGGTGTAAATTCAACAAAAATATGCAAAATATGGATTAAGAAACCACTGTCCCTTAAGTGAGGGACCTAAATAAATGTAAGCATAACCAGTTCATAGTTTATGGACATGACAGTTCTTAATTTGATGGATAAACATAAACCTAACTAAAAACTAAATTATTCTAAGGAGTTCCTAGGATAAATGCACAGCATTATCAGTGATGTTTTAAAAACTAAAATATTTTGTCAAGTGACAAGCATAGTTTCAAAGCTATTATCTGGTGAGAACCCCATTCTAAATGAAGGCATTACAGGTGATTTTATATTTTCTTAAGCTTGCTTATTTGTATTTTCTCTCTCTTTTTTAGAATTAATGCAGGGTACTTTTAAAATAAGTTACTGGGCACCTGGGTGGCTCAGTCAGTTAGGCATCCAACTCTTGATTTCAGGTCAAGTTATGATCTGGGTCATGAGATCAAGCCCTGTGTTAGGCTCTGCCCTGAGCAGGGAGCCTCCTTGGGATTCTCTCTCCCCCCATCCTTCTCTGCCCCTCACCCGCTCATGCTCTCTTTCTCTCACTCTCTCTCAAAATAAATCAACAACAACAACAACAGTTATTAAAAAAGAAAAAAATGAAAGATGGCTACTAGATTACTGAGGCCAATATCACATTGATACTTTTACCATATCACATGATCTCAACATTGAGTTAAGTTTCTTTGTTTTGGTCCTTTTGATGTCTTTTTAAGCATACCACTGTGGCAACAAAACTGCCTTGGCAAAAGCACATTTAATTAATCAATTTAAGAGTGAACAAGAATCCAGTACTTGGTGTTCTCCAATAAAGAGAGCAAAGAAAAAAATGGAAAGAAAGATAATCTAGGAGGGCAAAAAAGGAGTAGTTGCACAGGATCCTTAGATGGGGTATGGAGGGTTTTTCCCCAGACATTGTTTATTTTAAATCAAATTTATTTTTCTCAATATCTCTGTGAAAAAGAAAAAGTTCATTATCTGCATACACATATGAACTGAGGCAAGGGGCAGTCACATGACTTGTTTGAAATTATACAATTAAGTCAATGGCTGAACTGTAAACAAAACCAACGATTCCCAACTGCTAGTCGGCTGCTCTAACTAATGGATCATGCTCCCTGCTATGTAATAGGACTGTTTCCTTTAATTATGAGTTCTTCATTCATCATCAGCTTATCAGCCAGAGGTTTCATCATTGGTTTTGCTATTCTTGCATTCATGGCATTACTCTAAGTATATGAGACTTCCATGATAAAAAACATAAAGACCGCTACTTACTGTATCATACCAAATCTGAAAATTCCAACTGCAATGGCAAGGATACATCACCAAACCTGCACTTAATGGCACAGTTATAGGTAGAACTGCAATTCTAACACCTATTTGGGGTTGATCAGTGACCTGGAGAGAATGAATTGTGTTCTTTTAGATCCCAATTTCAGTGCACTTAAAATCTTACATTACAGCATTCTATGGTCTCATTAGTCAACAAAATCTGCAAATACAACCTGGAAGTAAAAGTCCCAAAGGTAGCAGATTGTTAAAGATACATTTTGGAGCATCTGTGATGCTGGGAACTAGACTAAGATAAAAATCATGAGATATTCTTACATTATACGCTAAAATCTATAAAAGAAAATTTATTGGGTAAACAAAGTAAATTGCTGAAAAGACGTATGCAGTCCCTTGTCTTTGAGAAGCACTTTGTGTTTCTTTGGCACAGATCACGGCAGCAGTAGTAGCAGCAGCCTTGCCCTTGGTGCTGATTTCTTACTACTCTAAATGTCTCCTCTGAGCCAGAATACACTGGCTGTTGCTGATCATGCTGTGAGACACCTGCACTGGCTACTAGGCTTGTCATGACGCACAAAACCCTACCATCTTCAGCTTGACATTGTGCAAGTTATAATTATTCATCCAAATGAATATGTCAGAGCAGCAGCAGCAGACCTCTCATCAGAGCAAAAGAAAAATACATCAAAACATTATCAACCCAGCAGGAAGACAGGGACCATAAGGAAAATTACCCATTTTTAATATGGATGCCACAAAGCCATGCCTATTATTTCACAAAAAGAAAGGAAAATAAAGATCTTCCAAGTTTAAAGTCCAGAAACACTGAATCCAAAGAGGAAATGTACAAAAACAGACAAGGATTTTTTAAATCAATTATCTGGGACCTATTTACAATCTCGTAAACAGAAGTTTGTTGTTAGACTACGTTTATTTTGCTTAAGAACTACAACTGTTTAAAGATTGTTAAGAGAAAATAACTCCCACAAGCAAAATTGTTTCCAAAAAGGCAATGGAAAAAGACCATACAAAGTGGTCTGATACTGCTTCTTACACTTAAAATAAACCTTGCCAATACTCTTATCATGTCTAAAAGACTCAAGAGTTCATACCACTGGTAGAATCACCAAAATGCTTATGATGTATTGCTATGCTCGATGCTAAAACAGGTAAATAGTGTATTTTGAAAAATTTCTAAATTTTAATGGCAAATGTAAAAGAAAAACTGAAATCACCCCTAGACCTACAAAATGAAGACAAATCCAAATTTTATGAGCATATACTAAATAGCCAAGTGTAAATAAGAGTCCCAGCTCCTAATTAAATGTGAAGAAAACATATAACTTTTAGAATATTAGGAAACTATCTTTTCAGAACAAGATATGAAAGATTTTCTCATTCAAGACACAAAAAGCAGAAATCACAAGAAAGAGATGATACATGGGACCACACTGAAAGTTAAACTTCTGACTGACAGAAAAGATCATACACAAAGTTAACAAGTATGCCACAGAAAGATACATTCCATGTAACCAACAACTGGTATCCAAATAAAAAAGGGACACTTACAATAAAAGACAAAATTTTAAATATACAAAGATTTTAAGTACCATAATGATGATTATCAATTCTTGTTAAAAATTAAGGTCAGACTACAGTCGGACTAAGACTTGGAAAGGATTTGGAAAAGTAGGTATTACTATGCAATCCTGGGTACGAGTGTAAACTTAGACAACCAATTTGGGAAGGCAACCTGGCAACATCTGGTAATCTCAAAGAGGCACATTCCTTTCAATCCAACATTTTCACTTCTAGGCATAAGCCACCCTAAAAGTCTCCCATGTGTACAAGGAAACATAAGGATGTTCACTAGAGCACTATCTAAGAAATTGTGAACAACCCTATCAGTATGGCAATGAAGAAGTTAACTGGTGGATTCATATAATGGAACTATATTAAGCATTTAAAGTAAATGTACTAAACATACAAAGACCATGGGTAAATCTCAGAAACAATGCTGTTTAAAAACTTCAGCCAGCCTGTATTATAGAATATGGCTTGAGCAAATGTGGCAAAAAAATATGCATGGATAGACCATGTATCAATTTCAGGAAGGTAGTTACCTCTAGAAAGGGACAGAAGAAAAGAAAAAGGAGAAAGAGGGAAATAAAGTCTTACTTGTTCCTAGAACATTTTATTCCTAAGAGAGAGACAGAAATAAAAGATGTAAGTGAAACAAACATGACAAAAAGTTAACATCTGTCAAATCAGAGTCTGTGGATAAAAAGGAAGGTAGCCAAATTTTCATCTGTGCTTTACCAAGAATTTTAGTATCTTCTTTAATTAAAAAATAAATAGGACATTCCAGTCACTAATTAGTTCTGTCTTCTTAGAGCTAGTACAAAACAGAAAACTTGCTGTATGACCTAATTAAATCTAAAATTCATCCCATGCTTAAATGTGCAAGGCATTGAGCTGGTGTTAAGGAGCGATAGAAACTTTGAAAGAAATTACCCTCAGAGACTTCCCAGTGTATTGAAATCACAAATTTTGCTAAATGACAGAATAAGGTAAGTGCTAACACTCTTTTTGTGGAGATGCAAACTTTTTCACAGATTTAAGTATGGGAAAAACCTGAGTTATCTACATTCAAAAACACTAGAAACTCATCAAAAGTATAGTCTTGGGATTTTGATATATATTAAAATATAATCTAGAGATAGCAGACCTGGAAAGAATAATACAAGCACAGTGTTATCTCATAATCTCACACATAACGAAATTTACAGAGCCAATAGGACACGTGTATTTAAAAAAAAGGAAAATATATATTTTAAAAAGAGGAAGGCCAAACAGAAAATGTACATTTGGAAAAGAGGAAAAGTTTCTTTAAAAAAAAAAAAAAAAATCAACACAGCATTTCTTAGATATTTATAACATATATCAGAATACCAAAAGCAAATCACAGGGGATTTCCTCTCCTTTATTTTGCTGTGTTTTCTCAATTTCCATCGAAAGGAGGGAGACTTTTGTTTTTAAAGAAAAAAATTAGAAAAATAATTTTTAACATGTATGTGATTAAAAGGATATTTGAACTTACACAACACTATTTAAATCCTGTTAGGCTTTTTAAAAAACTAACTACATATACAATCACTTGACTCTGTTTTTATTGAAAACATTAAGCATAAATTTTCACTTGGCCCTATCAAAATTTCCTAACACAAATATGGGCAGCCTAGAGAGTATCTGTAGAATGTCCACAGGAATGTTTGTCCCCCTCTTTGCGTAAGAATAGAAATGCTCTCTCCATCTTGCTATCAACTGCCACAATTTACTTGGTGAAAGAAGGACCCTGCCTGTCATCATTAGATTGTTCTTGGAGTCTAACCACCACTCTGTCAGATCTTTAAAAATCACACACACGTCATGTTGATGATGGTGCTACTAATACCCATACCACCTTGTATCTACATAATGCTGCTGTTTACACTGCACTTCTAATTTCATCCTCTTGTTAAATTATCACCAACTTTTTAAGAAATTAAATCGACAGAAGCAGGAGCAAGAATTTCCTACATTCTTTACATGAAATATGAATGTTCCAAAGCCCACACAAAAATATAATCTAAGTTCAGGGATGAATTATGGGAACTCCTTTATAACAATAAAAACTGAGTGGAAATGATTTGTATTTTCAGTCATAACTCATTCTCCTATGAAAAATGATTCTCTGATATTATGCCATCAATATTAACAGTTTTAGCAATCTGAAAAATCCACTCAACTTTCCACTTACTGCTCACGGCTTTATAGAGTTCTTTATGATTTAAATTTAAAGGAAAATTCCTGTTATTAGACCTTCATATTTATCTACTATGAGGCATAAACATGTCAATACTGGATGGTGTGTTTACATGTGAGGTGAGGGAGAAAGTAGATATTAACTACTAGAAAATATGGAAAAAAAGCACTCTAAAAGTTCTGTTTATAAATAAATGCTTAGGAAAAAAACCTAAAAAGAAAAAAAAAACACTCTATATATAACCTATAAAGGCCACTTATGCTTTTTAGCTACTTAAAATAAATTTAACAACTTACCTGTGGTGTCCAAGAAACAGAAAATGGAACAGGAAAATCCACAAAACAATCTGGTGATTCTGCAGGGTACTACAAAAAAGCATAAAATCAGGTGATTTTTGCTTCTGTGTGGTAATTTCACACGAAGTATCTTAGAAAAACTGAATAGGAAAAGTTTTATTATAAATTCAAACGCATTATATATAAATATTTTGATTCTATTCTTATAGAAAATGTCAAGGGCTAATTAATAGTCAAGTTATGCTCAGGAGGTTCAAAGTTTGGTGACTGGGATGCCAAAGCACTGGGTTTTGAGTAAAGAATAATGAATTAATTCAGTGTCAGGTCACCTGTTAATGTAAGTTGAGGGGAGAACCACACAGGATCTCAGTTTCTTTATCTTTAAAACGAGAGATTTTTCATCTTTAAAACTGATTGGTATTTAATATCCTTTCAACCTAAAATTTAATCTCAGTCTCAGTCACTATTTAAAAATGCTGTATCTGTTAAAAGAATCATGAAATGTACAAAAAATGTAAGCTATCAATTAAAAGAAGTATTTTCCACAACAAAGCAATTACTCCTAGAAAGAACATAAATAAAAAGAAGCAATGAAATGCTTTCTGGTTATTAAGGAAAAATAGAAGTAACAGCTTTAAGAAAAACCTTTTCATGGTTGATAAAGAGAAAATTAATTCAATACCTTCACACAAAAAGTGACAGTCATTAAGGACAAATCAGATGTCCAAGTTAAGAAAGACAAAGGCAATTTTTCCTAAAATCAATTTCATTATTATAGAATTGTACTACATGATTTCTGTAAAATCCAATTCTGGATTCTTGAAAGTCACATGTAATTATAAAATACTCATTTCTTTTTTCATTAAAAAGCAAAACTTACTAAGAGAAAATGAGTTTGGGGAAAACCTCTGTCTCTCATTTGAGAAAATGTTTAAAAGAAGTTTTAGACTTTCACTTTTTTCACTACTTCGCTGAATAAGCAAATGGGTTCCAAGAATTAGCACTACAGTATTTAGCACACGCCAGCCCATCCGAAGTCAATGTTTTGAAAAGAATTAACATTTAGTTATAATATGTGGTTTGCTAAAAAGAAGCTTATCGACATATTCTGATGGTACCTGACTACACAGAGCTGGTAACACAAAGGAAAGTATACAGGAAATCATATAAAAATATAATAATGATTTAATTTGGAGAAAAGGAAAAAAGAAGAAGGTCAGGCTGAGACTGAGGGAGCTCTAGTACAATTCTAAATATCAGATTCTAAGTACTTCAGATTATAACTGTTATAATCACTACAAAAACGATCTGTAAGCCATTTTTACAAGTCCTGTGATTATCTCAAAGTAAGTGCAGGCAGAGACCTTAACTTTCTGATTTCTAGTTCTGCTAACTTGTATGATCTTGGACAAGTCATTTAACCTCCCTGGCTGTTTGATATGTAAAACTGATGAGACGCAACTAAAAGTCTTATAACATCTCTTCCCTCTAACATGTTAAGATTCTGTAAAAATAATAATACACTTGAAACCTCCATGGGCCAAAAATGGAGTATCTAGTTCAATTTAAATCGCTGCTTTTTATCTCCTACTCATGCCGACAATGAACAATATCAACTCTTTAACTTAATTCATCAATCTAGGGAAGAGTACAAAGTTAATGAAATGTTTATTGTATTGAGAGTAGATGAACAAAGGAAAATAGCTGTTAATGTGGAAGTCATTTAGTACATACAGCAACATTATTTTAAAAGAAAATATGATCCTAATCCAAATAGGACTCAGTAAATAAGTATATACAGATACAGAAAGAGACCTACAGATAGTTAAAAAAGAGGTTAGAATAAATTTGATACGATCCCATATCCATAAATGAGTCTCCATAGAATTTTAGAATTTGAGATAAGAACATCTTTCAAATATATTTTTATGTATAATTATGCAGACATACAAATATAATAAATTAGATTGATCTATCTGTAGGTGACTTCATTGTAGAAGTTAAATGCAAATATACTGTATGTTATATTCATGTTCAACATCGATTTTGTTTATATAAGAAACTATACATAATTTTTTATAGAACCTAAAAAGCAAACTGATATACTTCTGGAAGACTTAACATGAATTATGAAGTAGGATCCTAGATATTTCAGAATCATTTGTGTGGTAGCACTAACTACAACACAGATGACTAATGCAATATTGTGAAACAGCTTTATCAAAATTCAGATAGTTTTTGATAGGAAGCTGTATAGATAGGTATATATAAAACCAGAGACTAATTGCCAAGTTTTTCTTTAGCAGTCTAAATGACAACAAAAGCTCCACATAAAGGGGCATTAATTAAAAAATAAGTGGTCAATCATTTTTATTAACAGTTTTTCAAATCTCACTTGAAACAATTCAATCAAATCAGTAACTATAAAAGAATTATCATAGCATATTAAGTAAATATTTTTATCATATATGGTATTTTTTAGACTCTGTAGCATATTGTTCTAAGGAAAATTTTAACCCAAATGTTCTGTGATTGCACCATCTAAGCAGCAAGGTTACTGCCAAGTAAATACATACAAACTGTAGCAAATTACAGAAACAGCCATCAGAGACAGAGTGCCCAGCCTCTGAAACATGTGATTTGGTTTTCAAGTAGTTCTGCCCTTGGCCAAAGCCGAGGAAGCTCTGGTCCACCAGGTATTGTAAATACTGCATAGAAATACACCTAGAAAAGTGACAAAATTCAACTGTTTCCCTTTTTTGATTTATGTACTTAATAGAGTGATTATTTAAAATTAATATTTTCTTTGAGGGTTGGAGACAGTGAGGGGGAATGGCAGAATTGGAAGAATATGTATTTAAGCAAAAAAATAAATGTGTTCTTTTACTACATATCAAAAAGTATCAGATATAAGAAATAAAGGTTTGTATATTTGCAAAGATAAGCGTGCTTTATGGTTTATTTTTTTAATCAGCTTGACTCTTTAAAATTTAGTTTGAGCTATGATATCTGTCTTATATACTCTCAACGTATAGCTTCAGTTACCAGTTTTTAACTGAAAATCCCAAATACTCCTAAAAAAGAAGAAGAAGAAGAAGAAGAAGAAGAAGAAGAAGAAGAAGAAGAAGAAGAAATTACCACATCTAAAATACATCTTTGGTCTATGAAAACTGAACTAAATGGACAATTAAGGACTCTAATGAAATCATACCAACATAAGATTCATTCATTTCCACCTTGGCTTTTTTTGGTTTTTTTTGATATAGTTTTTTTCTTAATTCCTTCCTTAATTTAAATAAAGCTTTCTAGTCTCTCTTGCCAGGACATCCATAACAATGCTCCACAGCTATCGATGCTGCAAATATGGACACTTGAAAACATTCTTCACAGAAATTATATTAAGTGTCACCTTATCTACCCAAAAAAAGATGTAATAAAAAGCAAACAGGATGGAACATACTAGTGGCTACATCCTCACTCTCAATACTACTAATAATGTCATTAATTAGAGTTAATAACAAAATCTTGTAGTTACAGGCAGAGCTGATGTAAAGCATCGTCTCCTTAGTAAAAAAAAAAATTATTTTTTATAAAAATCAGGCTATTAAAAAAACATTACCCCACCAGCACCCAGAATAAGGATGAGATGCATTTAAAATTTTTCATTTTGGTCTTCACAGTGGCAAAGGAACTTTTATCAATGTACAAAGTATAAACAAATAAAACTTTGAAGTAAATGACAGAACCCTTGCCACTAGTGGTATGTGACCTTTGGTGGTAGAATAAAATAAGATTTCTCCCTGATCTAAAAAAAGAAAGAAAGAGAGAAAGAGAGAAAGAGAGAAAGAGAGAAAGAGAGAAAGAGAAAAAGAAAGAAAGAAAGAAAGAAAGAAAGAAAGAAAGAAAGAAAGAGAAAAGAAAGCAAGCACACCTTTAAAAAGAAAATAAAAAATGTTCACCTTAACAAAACTATCCATAATATCTTCTTTTACAAACAAGATTTCTATCCCACTAATTTTTTCAACACTTAACAGTCATGAATCTTAAAATTATACCTGAATATTCTGTGTGTGAGGAAAAAGAGAAAGTCATTTCTCAACTTGTCTGATAAAGAGGCATTATAAGATACCAACTTTTCTGTGTCACCCAGTACAGCTTTATATATTTTCTCTCATGGAAAGCTTAAATGCCAGACACATTTTTAAAAAGGACAAACACAATTGATCTTTTCATCACTACAATCTTCTGAAATAGAGTTGATTGATGATTCCTAGAAACAAAAAAAGTTAGATGTCCTAGTTTTCCCAAATTCTAATGTTTCCCTAGTGATTACCAAGTAAACGATTAATATGCTGAACTTGCTTAGTCTACTTATTTCTCAAAGTTCAAAATCTAGAACTAAAAAATAAGGATGAAACAGCTATGTTTTGTGCCAATAAAGTTAGTAAGTAATCACAGATCACCAACCTGTGAAGAGTCTACAAATGAAGGCATAACCTTTGCAAATTCTTAAAATACAGGAGTAAAATTTCAGACAAAACAAGCAAGCAATAAAAAGCAATGCATGTGGATGTGTTTTCAGAGTCCGAGTGATGTTCAGAAATAAGAACTACAAATGTAATTCATAGAGCTGAAGACAAGAGACTTCAGTGAAACTTTACTTGGGACAGTGGAAACTCAAGTTTTTTCTTTGTACAGCATTACAAATGGCACGTGGAGACTTATCCGTAATATTTATTATGAAGCCTAAATTTTGATCCAATTTGCACTGAACAGTGACATGAAATTATGTCTATGCTTTTGGAAACTTGAGGGGTAAGTTTTAGGAGCTTTCCAAAATAAATTACTTAAAGTACCAAATATATATATATTTTTTTTGGAAGCAACTAGCACCTCTTTACATTGAAAACATTCAGAGTTCATTTCACAAAGTATTTCCTAACCATAACAGTTTAATGAAGCACATACCTTTGCCTTCAACTTGAGAGTAATTAAATGCTTTCTACCAGAAGCATCTTCAGCTTTTAACTTGATGGTACTGAGACAAGTATCCACAAATACAAGTCTGGTGAGTAGAAGGAAATAAAAAATGATCATGCTAGGGAGGGCAAAGTTGGGGGGGGGAGGGGGAGGTAAAGGATGGTAGAATTCAAAATGAAAATATCTGCTGCATTCCTATTAATCCATTACAAAAATTAATCCGAGGAATTTCTGCATGCCAGCCCTTTATGCAGCTATAGATTTACTGCCGTTAATACACCAGCCTGGTGCTTAATGCAGTCATAGATCTCTGGATTATTTACAATGTGTGTCAAGGCTCATGCTGTGGTCAGTGAGCACTATGTTTCGGTTTTCCATCACTGGAACCTTTGGCACACACAGCATGTTGCTGTCAGCTTCTACTTATGTACACATTAAACTTCCTGTCAAACTCTTTGATCCATTTCTGTAGTTTCATACAGTATGAGACTTTTGTGCTTCCTTTATTTGTTTTTCTCTTCAATGAACTTCTCCTTTATTATCAATAATGTTAGTGTACAAAAATCTGGCTGATATTAGTTCATATACTCAATTGATGCTCTAAGGAAAAGGTTATATAAGCACAGGTACAGTCCAATCTGGTAACAATAAATTTTCTTTTTGTGCAATATATAGCTTCTGACATTTAACCTGGACATGCATTCAAGATGACTAATATTTTAAACCCATAGCACAAGCACAATTGTTTCTGGCTTTAAGTTGCTCTAAATGCATGAATTTTCTACAACGGAAACCAATACCCTTTGAAATACATCATTCTGTAAAAATATGGTCCCTTGAGTAGTATAAGCTACTGCCAAAAAGGTTCAAATTTAGCAGTATATTTACTAGTGAACTGGGCATGTGGATATTTTTTGACATTTTTACAATACTATTCTCTTGTAAAGATAAAAAGTAGCCTAAGAGTATTGCACAACTTATCACCCAGACTGATGGTGAGACCCATTAGAGTTCAGAACTAATATTAGCCTCCTCACCTAGGAAGCATTTCTTTTAACATCACTATATGCCATCTAGTCACTAGCCAGATGTAATGGTAAAATGGGTCAATTTCAAGAAATGCTGGACAATAGTTGTGGAACACTGCTTGTAATGAAAAATAGATCTAAGTCTGAAGATCTGGATCCTCAAAAATAGAATAAGAAGTAAAACAAAACAGTCTTTATCAACAGAAGAAATATGTATCCTAAACTATGCAAAGCCTAGGGTCCTAGAAAATAAATGAAAGCAAAATTATTCTAGAAAAAAACTATTTACATTAAAATATTAATGACTTGTAAGTAAAAGAAAATAATGGTTATATATCTGTAAACATCTCCCCAATCCCCTACCCCCGACAGTTTAGAACATGAGACTTCGTCACACGTTTCAAAAGACGACTCTAAGGCTCTGACTCTAAAAACGCTGACACTTCAGATTCAAGACGTTGAGACATGCATTCATAGTCTCTCTAATCAAAACAGAACCAAGGAATTTTAAAAAGTTACAAATAAACAGTTAACAAAAAGAACAAGAAGGAACAAACATTAACAAAACAAATTTCCAACAGCTATTATAAAAATGAAAAGTGGTTAGAAAAGCACTGGGTGACAAAACAGATTAGAACAGGAAGAAAAGAAGGCTCCAGAGGGTAGACAGTGGGCAAAGAAAGGAAAGTTTGTATAATACGGAGAATAGAAAGTATGACTTAAATACAAGATGAAATTAAGAAAAATTTTTTAAAAATGCAAGAAACCAAAAAGGAATGAGGGAATTTTAAGTGAAGTTATAAACAATAAAGCTATGACAAAAACTGTAATTGCTCCACCATCAGTTTTTCAGTGAAAAGCATTTATGTAGTCATTAAAAATTTAGCTGCTTACTAATTATGATTTTTAGAATCCAGCAAGAGACAAAACTAAGAGACTTAATTATAGTTATAGAAACTAATGTAAATATATTTGACCACGGCAATTTAAAAGGAAGAGAGGACAAAACTTGAGAGATAGAAGGAAAAGATATGAGGAAGGAAGATCAGGGACACTAAAATTTGTAATTGCTAATTTGAGAGTAAGAGATACCATCTTTAATTGAAGGGACATGAAAGAAGTTTAAGAAATATTAAAGCTAACAGAGGAATAAAAGAAGAGTGAGGAAGGGAGAGAAAAGGTAGTATGAGAGCCAAATCCTTTTCTACTATAATAATCGGTATGTAATTTCCAAAACTGATAAATCAAGTTATGTTGAATAAGGCACATTATTTAGAAATATGGAAGTTGTGAACATGAACATTTCAGTGAACGTGAACGTTTCAGTGTCTACCTTAAAGACTAAGAGCAGGGATACAAAAATGGTGTGGAGGAAAAAAAAAAAAAGACTGCTGCTCTTTATCATAAGCCCTAAGTAGTTTACAATCATGATAAATATATAGACACAGAGATAACAAGAGGGGTGGGGAGAGAAAAGGAAAGACTAAATCATTAACCAGTACTTTTCACACTGCTGCTCAGCATCAAAATATTAAAAGTTACTGAACATCTATAAAATAAGACAGAAATAAAAGTTCTGGTCTTTATGCAATTACACAAAAAATTATCTTCCCACAAAGTTTAAGACAGAGGAACTACATTAGATATGGCCTTGCTGTCAAAATGATCATAACGTTAATTCTGCTGAACTTTAAGAAGTAATTCAAATAAAGTATCAAAACAATGTTTGTAATTGCAGGTTAATCTCAGCATAGTCATTTAAAATTAAGGATTTTACCCATGCTGATGCCTGTCTACTTTGTATAAGGGACAGGAAGAAACCTTATTCTAAATTATTAACATCTTGGGTACACATTTGCTAAACCAAATTTTAGCAGGGTACATCCGACAGCTAGCAGTCCTTCCAGCTGCACTTGGATGTCAGCATATCACTAAATCTGGCCGATGAACTGTAAGCAGTGATTTGTGCATCTCTTGAATCATTTGTAACAAAACCACGCCTTCTCCTCTCCCTACTCCTCTCATTCTCCCTGCCTGTACACTAGAACTTAAGCCAACATAAGCCAGCAAAGACCATGCAGACAAGAACAACGCTCTTAGAGCAGCTCTGACCAACAGAACCTCTGCTAGGATGGAAGTAGTCTATACCTGCACTGTCCAAAACAGCAGCAACAGCCACATGTAGCTATGAAGAACTTAAAATACATTAAAACTGAATTTTTAATGTAATTTAAATATAAATATCAATAGCCACATATGGCTAATAACTACTGTACTTAACAATGCAGCCAGGGTGGGGCGCCTGGGTGGCTCAGTCGGTTAAGCATCGGACTCTTGATTTTGACTCAGGTCATGACCTCATGGTTCAAGGGTTCAAGCCCCACATCGGGCTCTGTGCTAATGGCACAAAGCCCGCCTGGGATTCTCTCTCCCCGCCCCCCCATCTCTCTCTCTCTCTCTCTCTCTCTCTCACACACACACACACACACACACACACACACACACACACACACACAATCAATCAATTTAAAACCAAGCAAACAAAAAAATGCACCCAGGGTGGATGGTTGAGAAACAAAGAAACTTGAGTTCCTGGATGACCTTATGGACCAAACAGAGCCACGAACTCCCTCCTGACCAGCTTGCCTACCTCTCAACTGTTAAATGAGAGATGAATAAAATTTTATCTTGTTTGAAAATTGAGAATTTGGTGTTCTCTTTGTTAATTGCACCTTAGCTTGTACCCTTACCAACAGAATGTATTTCTATCCACAATAAGAATAGTATCTTATTATTTGGTGTATGGAAGAGATATTAAGGGAGGGGAAAAAAGTAATAAACTGTTAACAAGTAATATTAAAATCAATTTATCTAAAAAAAAGCCTATTTCAAATGTTCTGCTTTATTGTAAAGTTGGGTATCTCAATTTAGACAATATGGAATAACTGTAGTAGTTTTCACTCATTCAAGTAACATATAAATTCATATAAATAATAAACAGGAAAGTCGTCACTTTTGACAAGCTCACATTTTTGAAAAGTTATAAAATCACATTTAAAATTTATATTTAGAAGTTATTACTTATTTATATTTAGGTGTTCTTACTTAGCTAGGCATAATCCAAAATTGACTAAGAAAGTGTAAACATACAAATATAAAACCTAAAGGAAAAACTCTATTTTTGGCACTTTACTTTGTATTTATCATTTGCTACATTTCTTTACAAGTTACTGCTTACAATAAAATGGCATTAAACTTGACAGTTAAGTTTTTTAAACATTTGAAAAGGACACTAATTCTTAAGCTTACCAGAGGTTTTTGCTATTCACATTAATAGCTGAATGTTATCAATAGAGAAAAACAGAAGAAAATTGCTTTGTAACACTATCCTTAGTTTGACCAACAGCTTAAGTTACATAGTTTTTCTTTAAACATCTAAGATGCATGGGTGCCTGAGTGGCTCAACAGGTTGAGGTTGAGTGTCTGACTCTTGATTTCAGCTCAGGTCATGACCCTAGGGTTGTGGGATCCAGCCCTGTGTCAGGCTCCATGCTGAGCGTGGAGCCTGCTTGGTATTTTCTCTCTCTCTGCCTCTGCCCCTCTACCTTCGTCGCACTCTCCCTGTCTTGCTCTCAAACAAACAAACAAAATTAAAATAATATAAAATAGTTGCATTTATGCAGCAATAACATCAAAAGGCAGGTTACAGACCTTCATATTTTAATAAAGCATCAATTCCATGTTTACCACCACCCTCAAGTTTAAGCATTAACTACTTCAAAAAACCTCCCTGATTGGTGTTTTTTTCTTGTATCTTCTGTATACATCAATCTACCCTGTCCTCCCATGGCTAAATTAATCTCCCTAAGTACTTTTTAAATTGTATCAACCTCTTGCTCAATAACAGTCAAGGAGTCCCCATCACTTGCATATAAACAATCCTTAGGCTAACAGTCAAGACCTTTCAGTCTGGCCCTGATATTAATCCTCTTAAGTCAACAACTGATCTCCAAAGTCCAAAGATGAACAGCACATTTCCAGCAGTACAAACTTGTTT